CCCCAAAACCCCAAAACCCCGCCAGAGACTATTAAACATAAAATCACTAGTTCTCAAATAAATAAATAAATAATAGTATATAAAAGTTGAAATGGCGCTTTAATACTTTAATCTAAATGAGGAAGAAGACCAAAATCTTTTAAGCTTTTTGAGCCCATACGATAAAGGTTCTGATTGTATCATTATTCATCCAGGTTCACACTCAATAAAATTTGGATTATCCACCTAGATGTAGCCTTTTATAGCCCCAAACGTAATTGCTTATCCAAACAAAAATGGCAAAAAATTAAATGAGTTCGATAAACTTAAGAATTTGGAGGAGCAAAGACAATAAATGTTTGACTAGTAAATTGATAGGCTACTACCTGAGGTGGAACATAATTTAAGAAAGAAAAGATTTTTACTAATAGATGCCAAGAGTGCTAAAAATATAAGGAATAAATAAGTCAGTTTTAAGGTGTTCGATGAGTCTAACTCTGTTAATGATTATTATGATCCTGACATACCATTCGACATTAATAATTAAAACCTTATGAGCTCTGATTTAAATGAGGATATTTCAGGGGAGAAAGCAAAATATTTGAATCGACCAGAGACCTAGGATGAGAATACTGGCAAAAGGCCATATGTAATTGGCAAAGAAGCCCTAGCTTTGAACCCAAATGAAGAGTATACATTTAGATATCCTATAAGATATGGAGATTTTAATGTTTCAAATACCTATAATATTAATGAGTGCTGCTAGGATCTTGAGAATATAATTGAATATCTTATCACAAAATATATGTGCTTGCCAAAGAAAAATTTTGAGTATTTCAATTGCATCTTGATTATTCCAGACTTATTTGTAAAGCATCATGTTAGATATATGGTAAATATGCTGTTGTCAAGATTAAAATTTAAGAGTATTTTCATTCACAATGAAAGTGTGATGTCTACCTATGCTATGGCTTTACCAAGTGCTTGCGTTGTCGATATTGGAAGTAGCAAGATCAGTGTATGTTGCGTTGATGAAGGTTTGATTGTTCCTAAATCTATTATTAGGAAGCATTTTGGAGGCTCTGATATCGATGAGATACTTTACAGATTTATTAACAGATAGAAAGCGTTGCATTACTTCCCTAAAAATATTCTAAACATGGAATCATATTTGCATAGAAGTCAAATCTAACATATTAAAGAACAATATGGCCTTACTGTTATGGATTAAGGAGAAATTGTAAAAACATGCAACATTTGGATAAAAGAGAAAACATCAAATAGAAATAAACTTAAATGCACTCAAGCTACTTTTAATTGCTCGGATGCCTTACTTTTAGCTCCATAAAGTCTCTTTTACTCATAAATTCTTGGTTTGCATAAATAGATAAAAGATGAAACAAGTGGGCCTAAATATGGAGATCCAATGATGGTAGTTCAAGGATTTTAAGATCCCGAAGATATAATTTATGACATTCTTTATAATATGAATACTCAAAATCAGGTAAACTAAAACTAGAACATCGCTTCTAACAATGCTGCTTTGTCTAAAATAGTTCAAAATTAAAGAGAAATAGAATCTGGAGGTAATACTCCATCTGCGAGTATGAATCAAGATGCTCAATCAGAAATCGGCGATGGAGAATCTGAAAATTTAGGCGACAAGTAGTAGGCTGCAGTCTCAATTTATCAATAAATGGATGAACCAATGGATTTGGATGAAATAATTTGTAGAAGCATTTGCAGTAATGAAAATATTGAAGTTAGAAGAAAGATGGCCAATTAAATCATTATAGTTGGAGGAACTACAAAAACTAAGAACTTTATTGATTCACTGGAGGAAGCAGTTATGGATAAATTTTCTTCTTAGTTTGATGAGAATGTTGAAAGGGTTAATGTTGAGTAGTTCAATGTTTAACAACATTAATAATTCCTTTAGTAATAAATGATCCTTTAAAATGCTGGATAGGGCCAAGATATGAGTGCTGAGTCTTTAAGAATAGATCCACGATTTGTAAGTTGGATGGGAGCATCAATCATACCAAAACTAGAATCTTCAAAGGACATGTTTATTTCTCGAGATAAATTCCTAATTGAATTCAGAGCTTACAAAGATAATTTTTAGGAGCTCCGTTAAGTCTAAATATAGCAATCACTCGAAGCTATGAAAAATGAATAAGAGGAAAAGAAAAATAATGCTTAGAATTAAGCTGATGATAACTAGATGGTAATTGATTAGAAAAATGTTAACCCTGAAGAATAGGGACAACTTACAGCTATTTAAATAGAATAAATTGAGAAGGAAGTGGCAAGAAAATTAAAGAAGGAAAGAAATCTGGAAGCAGGAGTAAAGAATATAAGGGAAAAGGTACCATTTCACTTTTGAATTAATTATTTAATCTTTATTTCATAAATTACCTCACTATTAAAATACTCATGCCCTTAATTGATCAAGCAACAGTGTTATTCTGATTCATTATCTCAACTACTGTAAAGAACTCTTTAATATCCTAAGTACCAGATGCCCATTTAAGCATGTCTGAGATATGGATCCTCATTCCATCTGGAAAAGACTCCTTTATTAATTTAAGCATTCTCTCATTAGTTTCTTATGTTTATACGTTCGTCTCATAATTGCTTTATCCCAAACCCCCAATAGAAAATATTTTAAACGATGCTCCAATGCAAGTGTTAGCTAAAAATTACAAATCATCTTCCTCAAGATAATTGTTATCATTAAAGTCGAAAAATTCAAACAAAACTAAACTTGAGTTAATGATGTTAATTACATCTGATTTTATCTTCTATTCTAGAGTTCGAGTATATATTTAGAACGCAAAAGAATTCTATAGCATCCACTAGTCCTATAATTGATGATAAAATAATGGTCTTAATTTATTACCTACCATTTGAATCTGAATCCCATAGTGCAAATACAGACTCATCTAATGCGAATATCTATTCAAACTCTTTTTAATTTATTGCAAATGATTCGCAAAGCATTTGAAATCCTTTGTGCAGTGTCCTTACTTTTCCAATTGGTACTATAAAGCTATAAGGCTATAATAATATACAGGAAATAATCTTTTTGTTTGGTTCTGGAATAGGAGAATTTTATACAGTGGTTATCAAACTTCCCATTTTAAATTCAAAAATTAACCTTATAAATTTTATAGACTAATTAATAGTTGATTCTAACTTATTGCTAAAAGTTTATTTCTAATGTTATAATAAATTAATGGTTATTATATAAATTTATTAAATTGAATAAGATGATGAATATGTTTAAAAGATCTCTATTGCTAAAATCTTTAAGTCAATAAGTCACTATCACTCATCCACAATAAAAAATAGTCCTAATGATTACTTAACAATAGAGATAACTATCCATCTTTAGTTCGTTATTTGGTAAGAAGAAGCCAGAGGAAAAATAACCCGAGCCTAGATTTGAGAAAGTCCCAGAGAAAAAAGAAGAAGTGATCTAAGCTAAAGTTGAAGAGCCCGAAAAAGAGCCTACTCGCTATCATTAGGCTACTGCTGATAAAAAGAAGAAACAGAAATAAGCAGATGCTGCTGATACTGACAGAGATATTAAGCAGCAGATCAAAAGTCTTGATAGATCTTAAGAAGATAACTTGTATGGAAAGTTTAAGAGACAGAGGAAAACAGTGCAAGAGAGAGATTAAAATCTGCATTTGTACCTGCACCCTGATCTGCAAAATAACTCCAGAGTCTCAATTGCTAAGTTTGAGTCAAGAGCATTTAAAAGAGGATTAGATGAAGGAGAGGCACCATTCCCCGTGTCTCCAAGGATTGGACCATATGAAGTAGAAAAGCCTATTTTCGGTACTAAAAACTACTATTGGTGCTCTTGTGGCATGTCTAGGTCTCAAGTAAGAATTATCAATTAGTTTTTAAGACAATAATATAGCCATTCTGCGACTCATCTCATTTCGGAACAGAGTTCAAGCCCTTAAAATTCAGTCTAGATGAGAAGAGCAAGAAAATTCATATGTGCGGATGCAAGTTATCAACATAAAAGCCCTTCTGTGATGGGGACACTTGTAAGAAATTATTGACTGGAGAAAAGTTTGAGGCAGCCGAAAGACTATTAGAAAATGATATACAGACTAGCCAGAAGGAGTTTGCTGAAGCTGATTACCAAGTTGGAGATTCCGGCAAAAATAAAGAATAATGATTTACTTTAATTCATCTACTATTTAAATTTCTTGCAGATCAAACCGTCTCCTTTAATTAGTCAAGTTTTGTGCTTATTTCCACTTAAATTGGCAATGAGGGGTTTTGGGGTTTTGGGGAGATCGGAAGA